GAGATCCATATCCAACAGCAGCAACACAATGGTTCATTATTTTCTTGCATTTTGGTTCATCATAAACTCCTGACTTATATAATTGGAAAGATGTTTGACTAGCATCAATACAAACACCAACAGGAGCATCAGCAATCGCAGCAGTAAGAGCAGTATCACTAATGTCAGCAGTTCGAAGTCCTTCAATAGAAACTTTTACTTTTGTCTTGTCATATAAACATTTTCCATCTTTGCCAGTATAAGGATTATCCTTTTCTTCCATAAGTCCATTTGATTTTACATAATTATAAGATGCTTGAAGAGTTCCTCCATTACATCCATTAGCAAGAATAGCACAATCAAGAATTTGTTGTTCAGAAAGATCAAGGGTTTGTGCAGTATATCCAGTTGTTCCACTTATCAGTAATCGTGATTCAATTGCTGCAACAGCACCAAAAGTAAAACATGTTCCACAACTTCCTTGGTCTTTAATTGGAGTAACTTTTCCTTCAGCCCTCCAATCAACAGAAGCAGGAACTTGTTTATTACTTTTTAAATTGATAACTTCAATATTTTTATTTTCATTTCCAATAATTTGTTTATTTAAAAGTGCTTGATATTCCTCACTAGTTAAAGCAGCATATGGGCCTTCAACAGAGAGTTCAAAGTCATGATTTTTATTAAATTCCTTAACATATTTGAAATTACTTGTAAATATTGCTTTTCTTCTTAGTCTTTCCACAGGAGAGAATTTAAATTTGTATTTAGATTGCCATTGATCAAATGTGATGGCATTTGCACACAGTCCTAACAGAATGACTGCAAACATCAGAAGAATGAAAAATATTCTTTTAAGTTCAATAATCCTTAAAGATTAACTTACAATCAAAGAAAGTATTTTTGTTAATTCTTTTTAATAAATATTTTTTCAATAATCTTTCTTAATATTTTATAACCTCTTAATTACAAAGAACTCATAAAGAAGAGCTGAAATCATATGAAAATAAACGGGATTTTATGAAAAAAAAAAAAATAAAAATTATCAATAAGAAATGGTGGTATGTTATTTTGATAGTTCATTGTTTTGTGTTGGAGTTGTGAGAGTCAGAACGTCAAATGAATGAGTCGTTTCTAAACTCATTTTAAATGGGCTTAATTGCAATAACTTAATAATTCATTTTAACATTAGTTAATATTTACATTTCATTTGTTAAGACTTTGAGCATATAAAATAAAGGTGTCAAAGACATTTTTCATTTTGGATAAACAAATATGGGAAATTATTTTTAATTTATGTAATACTCTATTCATATGGAATGATAATTTCATGACGTCCAAAAATAACTTTAAAATAAATAAAAGATGAAATACAAATGATAACAATGATAATTGATATTGAATATGATGAAATGAATGTGTATTTGTATGATGGAAATGAATATGAAAGAATTGATAGAATGAAATATTTAAAAGAAGAAGAAAAGAAAATAATTGAAGAAATCATTTCCAATGATAAGAAGAATGTGAAAATTAGAAAAGAAAATATTAAAGGAGTAGAAATGATGATTAAACCAGAAAGTAAATTATCAATGATATTCAACAATATTAAGAAAGAAGTAGAAAAGAAAGGAGAAAATGAAAGAATAATCATTTTTATTCCTAATGGAACAAGTCAATGAAATGAAAGAAGAATAGAAAATTCAACAAAACACTGAAGATTAAATAATGTACAAATCATACGGAAATATCATATAATTGAAAGAATACATTCAGAAGAATATAACTAGAAACAGGAATATTAACTATCATCATAGAAACTAAGGAAATAAAATATTGAATAATAAATATAAGAGAGTGTATTGATATAATTAATAAACAACTACATTTGTTTTATTCATTACAAATTATAAATAATAATAAAATAATAAATAAAGAGAAAATATGAATAAATAAAGAAATAATAGTATAAATAAATAGAATGTTAAAATAAGAACAGACAATATTAAAGTAATAAGTTATTAATTGAAATTAAATTTTTATTTTAAGTTATTTTTTTATTAAATTGACGATATTTTATTATTAATCTTTTATCAAAATATTCATCATCTTATTGATTTGATTATATTTATTGAATACTTATTTTATTGATCTTTCTTTGTCTTTGATTCATTTTTTCTTATGATTTAATTAATTCATTAATAATAAAAAACAAACAAGATTATGAATAAATTAATAACCAACATAAAAATGAATACTCTAACTTAGATATACAAAATAAGTGATAATAATTCATTGTTGAAAATTATATATTTCATTAATTTAATCATTTTTATAAATTGTATAATTGATAATACAATCTGTTAAACATTGATGATACCATAAATTAAATGAAAGGACATTTCTATTTATTTTATTTTGATTCATTGATTTATATAATGAATAAGATAAAAGAAAGAAGAAAAGAAAAAGAAATAAATGAGATTCGAAGAAAATAGGTTGAATGAAATTAAAAGAAGAATAATCATTCTTTGTATTCCAACATTGTTGTTATTTATTTCAGTTCTAATGAATCTACCTAGAAACCCATTGAAAGAAATAATGATGGAATGTGTTGTTTATCTTGATTCAATTAAAGATTCATATTTATCAATGATTGTATTTGTTATTTTGAATTTAATTGGATTAATTATTTGTTTGTTCTGATTCATTTCATTCAAAATCATTTATCATTCATTAACTCATAGTTTTACCAATTACATTCTTAACATTAACAGGTGGATTTGTTTTTGGATATTCAAAAGGATTAGTATTAAACATTATTTCACGATTTATAGGTAGTATTATTCCTTATTTTATTGGAAGATATATTGCAAAACGATATGTAATTGATTATCTCAAATCTCATCCTAAGACTGATCAGTTCATTTCGTTATTAAATGATGATTCTACATATTTACTTTGTTTATACAGAATGTGTCCAATTATCCCTTTCACTATTTCAAATTATATTCTCTCCCCATTTGTTGACCCATCTCATTTCTTCATTTCTACATTGATTGGTATAATTCCTCTGATGATTATTCATACATACTTTGGAACTGTGATTCATGACATTGTAGAGATCGTATCAACTCCATCACTCAACTTCACATTTCTTAACATCATTGTTTTGATTGGAATGATTGTATTGACTATTGTATTCTTTGTTGTATTTTCAATAAAAATCAAAGAGATTAGCAAAAATCAAAAAGAAACACCAAAAGAAGTTATTTGGTTGATGAAAGAAGTAATAATTAAAGAATAATAACTGTCAATAATTCTATTGTGTGACTTGAATATTGTTAATTCATCTTTAATATAGAATACTCTTGTTTATTTTTTAATAGAGTCATATTCAAGAAATTCAAAGAAAAGAATAAAAGAAGAGAAATAGTAATAATTATTGAATACATTACCAAGATAATATGATAATAAACTAATAAATTGATTTAACTCTTGTTTATCAATCATAAGAATACAAATACTCATTTGTATTTAAATAATAACATAAAACATAGATAAAATAATATTCAAAATAATGTTTTTATTATTATATTTACAATATTTTAAATGATAAATAATATTATATCATTAAATTAATTGAATCAAGATTTAATTTATTATTTATTTGAAATAATTTATTGTTCTAATTATTGTATAGATATTGTATAATAAAATCATTTCAATTATATTAATTCTTATTGTATTCATTATTCTATAATCTTTAGTCTCATAATAACACATTCTGATATCCATTTTGAATATTTAATAATATATTTATAATAATAATTAATATCATTCATTTTGATAATTTCTAAATGATTCTTTTATTATTTTCCATTTCTGAATCAAGTGTTGAAGTATTTTATCAATTAATAATCAGATATTATTTATAATAAATGGATATGTAATAGAAATTAATTACTTTTATTGTATGAATAGAGTCATATAATATCAAT